CTGCACCCATTTATCCAACATTTTTTGACTTCCCTATTTGCTTTAAATGGCGAATGACTGTTGAGTGGTCGACCTCGAGTTCAACAGCAACTTCTCGTGTGGTTTTGCGAGGATAGGCTTCAATTAAGGCTTTCAAATGTTCGTTATCAGCCGCAGTCGGCCGGCCGCAACCGTCTTCATCTTCGAGGCTCTCGTCACCATTGCGAAATTTCTTGAACCACCGTTGTGCCACACGTTCGTTAGTGGTTCCTGGGCCAAACGCATCATTGATATCACGAGCTGTCTCGGCAGCTTTTCGGCCTAGTTTGAACTGGAACAAGAAAATCGTGCGGATTTGAATTTTGTCCATGCTGTCGAAAAGCCCGCAAAAAAAAATGAATGAAGAGATTGAGAACGGTAAGGAATAACACGATTCGATAGAGCGAAAAACGCGCTTCAAAATCATATATAACATGGCTATATATATCAATGAATTAATTCAGAAATTATATATAAATGTAACATATGTGAGAAAACGACATTATTTTTGCACCAACCTAATAATACAGATGTCACGGCAAAGTGCCGACGCATTAGTTATAAGCGCGAGGAGTGGTTCGAAATTCAGGTGATTTATAACCATTTTGATGGTCATTCGTAACTTTTACGAGGATTCAGAAAATCATACGAGTTGTAACTGGAGTTACAATCATGTTAAACTCATATTGAATGAAAAAGTACGCTATATATATATATATATATATATATATATATATATATATATATATATATATATATATATATATATATTGAGGCATGCTTCATTAAATAATATAGACAAGTTTTGTCTATTTCATTTAAGTAAATACCTTTCATATTGTCTGATAAGCGTAGTAACATTATCATTGAAAGACTAAAGGAAAATACCATATTGACACATGTTTAAATCCAATCTAAGCTTTCAGCTTACATAAGCCATTATCAAAAATGACAATTGCATGCAACAAAAACAGACTATCATCATTGTTTCGTCCGTGTATTGGTTGATATATTGAAATGTAATTGTCATCTTTAATAATGGCTTCTGTTATCAGGTTATCAGACAATAAGAAAAGAACTTACTTAGAATAAATAGAGGAAACTTGTTGATATTATTTAATGAAATATATATATATATATATATATATATATATATATATATATATATATATATCGGAGCAATTGCCATGAAAGGATTTTTTTAAGGTCCTATGAGTGGATTATATTATTTTGTGGTAGTTGATAGTTTTTGTTATCCGTTCGTGTTTTTCGAGTTGATAATAACTTATCGAAAACCGGATCTAATTTTCTAGCTTATTCTAGAATTCCGACGGCGATCGGCCTGATGGTTTATTGGGGTTAGGTGTTAAAAGGTAAACTCTCAGAAAATTTTGAAGCGCTTTCTCATTTACTCTCACAACACTTCCTTTTGGAATTTTTTCTTTTAAATTTACTGAAACTATCAACTACCACAAGATAACGTGATCCATTAATAAGACCAGAAGTAAATTTAAACGTGCAAAATTCCAACGCCTTCAGTGAGAGGAAAATTCTTACATGAACTGTTTGTAAGACATGTCATACCAGATACCAAAGTCTCTGATAACGGAACGCAATTCACAGTTAAAGAATTCGAACACATTCATAAAATGTTCTCCGTTGAGCATATTACTACATCGCCATGTCACCCAAGTTAAAACGTACAAGATGAATGGTTTGTGGGAACGTTTAAAAGAGCGTTGAAGAAAGCAAGACTTGAGAAAGTAAATGCGAAAGCGCTTCAAAATTTTCTGAGAGATTACCGTGTAACACCTAACCCTGAGACACCGTCAGGCCTATCGCCGGTGGAATTCATGTTAGCTAGAAAAGTAAATCCGCTTTTCGACAAGTTATTACCAAGTCGAAAAACACGAACGCATAACTAAAACGGCACCTAAACTTTCCAGGTAGCCGAGTAAGTGTGCTTTAGAGCTTGTAATGATGACAAAGAAACGTGGGAAGACGGCATAATATCAGCAAGAATCGGAAAGGTGATTCACATGAGGAAAGTTAAAAGATTTGAAAATAAAAAGCACCATAATCAGCTGAAAAATGGTCAATCGATGAAAGACCTGAAACATTAGAAAAACCGATAAAATACAATATGATGTTTTCGATGTGCCAGCACCACAACAAGTCTTTGAACCTACAAGGAAAACGTTTTAGTAAAAGAAAGTGTACCGAAGTTCTAGAAGTGAATCTGAGAGGGAAATGCAACAAAGTCGAGTACGGTGGCAAATTCTCCAGAAAGAAAAAGGGGGATATTAATACTAATAAAAAATCATTATAAAAAGTATTAATCAAAAAAGCGGAAAATGTTATAGAGTAAATAGTACCCCCCACTGTGATTAAATGAGCCTGTCCATAATTATAACTAAATTGCGCCAAGTCACAGGTAAGAAGAAAAGCCGTTTTCTGCCAATCTTCATACTGAGTAATACAGGCGTCACATCAAGTTGCCGAGGCATTACATATAAGCTCTAAGGAGCAAGTTATAACAGAATGTTGGATGGCAACTGGTCTACCACAGAAAAAATGGCAACCTACTGCGGCAAAAAATCTCGTCAGTCATGATCGCCTGAGCGTGTATTACGCATGACACATAACTGACGAAATACATTTTATAAGAGAATTACTAACAAAACAGTTTATCGCAAAATGACCAACAATAAATTTTACTTGTAGCTGAATGCATAAAATTGCCTTCAAAATTAATTAATAATTAGTTGAAGGCATTCAGTTGGATTCAAGATATATTTTATTAAGCCCATACGATTACGTTCAAGAGATATTTAGTTGAAGGCATAAAATTTGATTCAAGATATATTTTATTAAGGCCATACGATTACGTTCAAGAGATATTTAGTTGAAGTCATATATTTACGTTCAAAATAGACATGGCATGCAATTGTATCCAAATATATATTTAGATTTCGGCATTAAATAACCCAGTCTGCGAAACGAAGTCAACCAACCAGCATGAATTTGATTTCATGACATTAATTCATATAATATCCTACAAATTCTGAAATCGAACTGTATTCCAAAATATAAAATCAACAAAATTACAACTTAAAACAGACATATAATCGTCTTTAATAATTATGTCGCCAGAAACATATATATGCACAAAAGCTGAGTATTATCTACCATGTATTCAACTGCGAAAACAGAATAACATATCATATTTTTATTCCCAAGAATATTAAATGGCACTAATTGAAACATAAAGCGTTGATATTCCGTTAAACATAGAAATCAATCAATCTTTGTAAGAACTCTTTCTTCGTGGAGTCTACTCGCGGCAGGGTGTTTTTTTTCCAGTCACTACAACTTTGAACTCTTCAAGTCTAGGGTCAACCATTTTTTTTTAATGTCATAAAGTCTATGAACTTCACTTTTTGAATTTTCCTTCGCTCAACCAACGCCACACAGTAACCCTCCACCTCATAACAAACGCTTCTCTACTGTTTTAATTGTTATATTTACATTAGTATTCACTCTGTATAAGGCAGGGGAGTCACACGAGGTAAGAGAGATAGAGAGTAAGATGTACTGTTTATGCGGATAAATGAGGAAGATAATGGTTGAACATCGAACTGGTTAAAATTACAGTGATAAGGGAAGCATCCTCTTTGGAGTCCTTCCACAAAATCATGTAACTTATAAAAGACACTGTCAGCAAAGTTTCTGTTATTTATTACAGTTCTTTGTGATTCGTTAACGCAGTCCACAAGTTTTGAAGAACGAACGACCTACAGATTTCATTAAGATGAAACGATTTGTCATTTATTATTTCCTCCGACACTCCGTCCTGGGTATGACGATAAACTACATCTGCGTCCTGGGTATGACGATAAACTACATCCGCGTCCTGGGTATGACGATAAACTACATCCGCGTCCTGGGTATGACGATAAACTACATCTGCGTCCTGGGTATGACGATATACTACATCTGCATCCTGGGTAAGACGATAAACTACATCCGAGTCCTGGGTAAGACGATAAACTCCATCCGAGTCCTGGGTAAGACGATAAACTACATCCGTGTCCTGGGTAAGACGATAAACTACATCCGAGTCCTGGGTAAGACGATAAACTACATCCGTGTCCTGGGTAAGACGATAAACTACATCCGTGTCCTGGGTAAGACGATAAACTACATCCGTGTCCTGGGTAAGACGATAAACTACATCCGTGTCCTGGGTAAGACGATAAACTACATCCAACAGCAAGGAATCTGATCAGGAGGTTTTGAGGGGCGTGGAACCACCTGTTAATGACTGATGTTCTCAGGTCCAACCTGACCAGCACCTGTTAGGGTCCCAGCTTTGGGTAAATAATTACCCACCAAAGTTGGTTTCAAAACACTATGAAAATATAAAAACTATTACAAGCAATAAATTTTTGAAGAAAAATTATTATGAGCGATATATTATTAACAGCAATACAATTTTGAAAAAAAAAAAAAATTATCAGCAATAAAAATTTTGTCGGAATTAAATAATCCATGAAGGTTCATATGCTGTAAAACAAAATAAACCAAACCTCCGTGACTAACCTCATTAAGTCTCTGTGAATATAAGAGAAACATTTTTATATATCAATGTCTCCGAATGCCTAACAACAAAAATACATCTCCGAATCTACCATCCGTAAAAACACAGATGTTATCTTCGAATTTTTAATTCCCTCAAAACAGAATCCACATCCCCACCATGAAGAAAGTTTTTATTTTCAGTCCGTTTTTTTTTTTTTTCTTTTTTTCTGGCTCAGGTTTTCTTTTTTTTTTTTGTTATTTAAAAAGTTCATTTATTTCGTTTTAGGCTTTCTTATATTCTGGGCTATGTCAAATGGCAGTCTCGTCACGAGAGGCAGCAACCCGACATCGTTTTGTATGGGGTCTACTGGGAATTTTGGGCCGGCTCGGGTACCCGTTTTATGCAAGTTCGTGTACCCCACAATAAATATTATAACTCTTTTCTCCTTGTTCACCTTCTCGTATTCCTTTCTTCTTTCTTTCCTGCCTTGCTACCATACTTAATTCCATCTTCTCTTTCTTTCTTTCTTTCTTTCTTTCTTTCTTTCTTTCTTTCTTCCTTCCTTCCTTCCTGTTTAACGCGTGAAGATCCTCACGCATTTTAAATTGGAATCGCTTGTTTTATATTTTCTTTCAATGTACATATTTTAATATTTCTTGTCATTTTTCTTTCCTTTTTCTTTCTTTTTTCATTCTTTTCCTTTTTTTCTTTTTCTTTCTTTCTTTTTTTCTGGCTCAGGTGCTATGTCAAATGTTCATTTATTTCGTATTAGGCTATCTTATTTTCTGATCTTCAACATGTCATCTTTGTGTTGTTCCTATTTGTTTTTCTTTATCGTTTTTCTTCCTTTATTTTCTTTCTCATTTTTCTCATTCTCGGTAGGTTTCTTATTTCTCTTCCCTAAGCTAATTCTCTTTTCTATTTTACTTTCTCGTTAATTATTTTCATTCTTTTTCCCTTTTCCAATCCAAGCCCTTTACCGTTATATTTTTTATATTTTTTTCCTGTCTCACATTTCTTCGTTTTAAATGTATACTCCAATCATTTTCTTCCTCCTTTTCCGGCTTCTTCCCAATACGCATTACTTCTGAGTGTCCTATGTCGAATTCTCTGCCTCCGAGCAGAAATGATCCCCAGAGTCTCGTCACGAGAGGCAGTTACCCGACCCCGTTTTTACAGGGTCTACAGGCAATTTTTGTCGGGCTAGGGTACCCGTTTTTTACGGGTTTGGGTACCCCACAATAAACACGGCATTGTGCCACATCAGAACTCGTGATGCGGTTAGTGAATATCATCACAATTTTATTTCTAGTATTATAACTACTTTCTCCTTATTCAACTTCTCGTATTCCTTCTTTCTTTCTTTCCTGCCTAGCTCTTCCTTCCTTTCTTTCTTTCTTTCTTTCGTTCTTTCTTTCTTTTTGTGTAATGTCTGAAGATCTTCACGCATTTTAAATTAGAATCCCTTTTTATATTTTCTTTCAATGTACATATTATCATCTTTACTGTCATTTTTATTTCCTTTTTTTTCATTTTTCATTCTTCTTTTTCTTTCTTTTGCTTTCCTTTTTCTTTTTTATTCTTTCTTTTTTCATACTTTTCCTTTCTTTCTTTTTCTTTCTGTCTTCTTTCTTTCTTTCTTTCTTTCTTTCTTTCTTTCTTTCTTTCTATGCTATGTATAACGCATCCTTCTGAATACGATTCTTTCTTTTCTGTTTTTTTACGCCTATTTCATTATTTGTCTCCCCACCATCATTTTCTCTTTGAACATTTTTGCCCTGTTTAAACATATTTCTGGTATCTTTATTATATTAACAGTTATCTCCCCTTTAGTTAGAGTTTATTTTTTCTCTCCTCTTCCTTCCTTTCCTCTTCCCTCCTTTCCTCTTCCATTTTTACACATTCTCAAAGTTTTTATAAAACTCCCGACTCTCATTTCTTTTCTTGTAAAAATAGTTCTTCATCTTAATTTTTTGCAAGAAAACCACATAACAATAACAACAAAAAACAATCAAACAAATGAACAAAGATATTCCTTGCTGCTATAACAAGATTTCTATCTTCAAAAATAAAAAGTGTATTTATTTCATGCCGGTTACGTATGTTTCAATCTATATAAATTATTCTAACGTCATATTTCTTTTTGAAACGGTAATTGCAGTCTGGGAATAATTCGGTAAAATTTTTCAGATTATTTTTAGCAAATAAACAATTTTAAATTATATTTCTGTTCCATATTCCATCTGTGATATCCATAATTATGCGAAGAAAATAAGAAAATGGACGCGCTTCTTTTACCAAGAATTCAAAGCAGAAGAACTTCTTGGGCCAAAACTATCGTACCTAAGCAAGGCGCTGAGGCACCAAGACATATTCGCTTACATCTAATTTTAAGTGCGGTATACATTCAGGACATTGGGGATCATGGCTCTCTACAACGTCCTTTCCTTTGTCGGTATTAATAAAGATTGACTTTTTATTATATCTCCTAAACCGTGTTCTATCATCCGTTTTCTCAAGCTTGTTAACATTGTTTTTTGCCTGAAAATGGTAAATGAAACTTTGCTGGACTGTAAGGCGTATCGTATTCTGTGGGTATTTCCACATTTAAAAGAAAACAACCGGAAGAATAAACTTCGATTTCAAGGTTTGGTTTGGTTTGTTTTACGGTATATCAACCTCAGTGGGTCATTTCATTTTCTTTCCTGCTAATATTTTTGTTTTGACAAAAAATCTATTTCTCTTAACATTTTTTTCCTCAAAAATGTATAGTTGGTAATATTTTTTCAAAACCTATAGATGGTAACATTATTTTTTCAAAAACGTATAACTGGCAACATCATTTTTTCAAAAACGTATAGCTGGAAGGAAGATAGATAGATAGATAGATAGATAGATAGATAGATAGATAGATAGATAGATAGATAGATAGATATGAACAGACTGAGGCACATAGATTGATAGATAGATATGAATAGATATAGAGAGATAGATATAAATAGCCATAGATAGATAGATAGATAGATAGATAGATAGATAGATATGAACATTCTAAGCTACATAGATATGAAAAGATTGAGTAATATTGATAGATAGATATGTATCGACTGAGATAGATAGAAAGAAAAAAAAAGAAAGATAGATAGATAAATAAGAACACACTCAGATAGATAGATAGATAGATAGATAGATAGATAGATAGATAATGTTTAAAACATTGCAATTCAAAATATTACTACAATATTCAAAGTAATAAGAGATGAATATGGATGTATTCTGCGTTGAATATTTTTAGAGTTAATCAAAATATCTCTCGACATCTTATATGGCCGCGTGTTTATTCATTTATTTATTTTTTTCGGAAAATGCGAGAAAGTTTGGATCGGAAGAATAAATGTGATTGTCTGAACATTTTTTTCGTTTATTTAATTTTCCATTGATTACTTTAATTATTCGTTTAATGGAAACTGCTCTTAAAATGGCGCACAGTTTTTTTTTAAGAAGATCTAAGCTTTTTTTCTAATTCACCCCTGATGAGATAATTTGCTCTCACCAATATCAAATGGTGTGATCAAACCAATAAGACACTTGAAATGTTTCAGAATAATGAGTGATGATTTCTTTATAAATATTTCTTTTTTTTTTCTTTTTAAACTTGATTCTCCTGTTGGAATGCAAAGAGCTCTCAAATAATTAGACTCGGAGCCAAAGCGCTGTTTCATTTGATTATGTTTTCAGTGTTAAGGAACTGGTCAACAAAACGCTTTTGATTACGCCGAGATCAAAAAATACTTAAATAACCAATTCGATCAAGAATTAAGAAAAAAAAAAACGCAAAAAAGGTAAATTTAATATACGTAGAGATAAAAATGCTCACAAAATAAGAATTAACAAAATCGTAATTCTATTTTTTCGATTAAACGGATTTGAAGTTAGTGACTACAGATATTTAAGGGGGTGACCTGGGTCAGAAAATCATCAAATAGTTACGAACTGATGACCCTAACCTCGACAAATATTTTACAAAAACCTGTTTTCACCAGGACATTCTTATTCCAATAAAATCCCTTATTAATATTCTCAGGAAGTTCCAAAGTGAAGAATAACAAAATGTGTCTTTAGAAATATACTACTAGTCATTTTGGGGTTAAAATCGGGATGACTGCATTTCAATTTAAATGCATAATATTTTTGCCCGTTTTGAACCAACATAATGAAGGATGGACATTATAAAAAAGAATTAAATAGATAGATAGATAGATAGATAGATAGATAGATAGATAGATAGATAGATAGATAGATATGAACAGAGATACATCTGAACATAGATATGAAAAGTGATACATATGAACAGTGATAGATAGATAGATAGATAGATAGATAGATAGATAGATAGATAGATAGATAGATAGATAAATAGATAGATAGATAGATAGATATATAGATAGATAATGAACAGGGATACATATGAACATAGATATGAAAAGTGATACATATGAACAGTGATAGATAGATAGATAGATAGATAGATAGATAGATAGATAGATAGATAGATATGTACAGAGATACATCTGAACATAGATATGAAAAGTGATACATATGAACAGTGATAGGTAGATAGGTAGATAGATACCTGTGAACATTGATTCGAAAAGAGATGCATATGAACAGTGAAAGGTAGATATGAACAGAGAAATGTATGAACACAGATATGAAGCTGTTGGAGTAGAAGAGACGGCTACACATTTAAATGTTTCGACAGTGAAACGGTGGGACTAACATGCCAACCTTGTAGCACGTTTAAATTCATGCAGTTGGAGAACCAGCGAAAGTAGTCCGTCCGATCAGTTACCTTGAAAGTATTTGTAGAAAAGGCAGAGGGAGGCGACAGGACACTATGTACAAAGCTATATATGAACAGGTATAGATAGATAGATATATAGATAGATGAACGGACTGAGTTTGTCTCTAAATATAATTTTCAATTTCTTGAAATGGAAATGTTGGTATACACTGTTAGACATTTCAATTTATATACTTTTTAACATTTGTATCATAAAGTATATATATATATATATATATATATATATATATAATAAATACGAATATCAGTGTGTGACACTTTTTCAATTTTACTTCTAGAGACCGTAGCCCAACGTATTGTTATGGGGTCCACCCTTTTCGGATATAATGGACTCGTCCTGCTGCCATAAAATAGCCACAGTCAGACAGTGAACATGAGTCGTACATGAGTCGTACATGAGTCGTACCGGAGTCGTACAAGAGTCGTACCGGAGTCGTACAAGAGTCGTACCGGAGTCGTCTGTGAGTGTCGGTAGTCGGATAGAGTGAAGTAACCTCTTGTAGAAGTCAGTTACAAGCACGTAGAATCTAAGGAAGTCCTACCTCGAGACTGTATATATCTATCTGTATTTGCTACTAACCGGTGTTCCTGAATTTTACGAACAGCATTACCTTTTGTATTTTGTGTAAATACATTTAATTTCTTAGCTTAAATACTTGCGTTTGTCATTTATTGGATACCTATTTTCCACGCGGGATCCACAACACGTATCATACCATTTTAGAATCAGTCCATCTCCAATAGCAAATTAAAAACATTCCGGTCCGGATATGAACACTCGACCCTGAAATTTTGTATTACCAAGTTTTCGATACTGCGATTATTATCGGGTTCCGTCATCTTGGGCCCTACTGATAAAAAAAAAAAAACATTGAAAGGGAAATAACTCTCTATCTGTCACTATCTCAAATGAAAAAAAAAAAATAGTCTTCTCAAAGTACAGTGTTTCAAAATAAAATTGTCCGTCTTTTAAACTTTACTCCTAGATGCTGTAACCCAACATAAAATGCAATTTTGAAATATGCCCGATTATGTGAGCTGATAAAAAAAATACAAAAAAACAAAAAAAACATTGCGTTACTCTGATTGGTTTCGGCTATTTTTTGAGATGTATTTTTTGTCCGATAACATTTTTTTTTATATATAACTTGGAAATAAACTTGGGAATAATCTAAATTATTTGCGAAATCCAGCGAAAGTCACACATGAAATGTAAATAATTGTTTGTACTGAAAGTAAGGACCTACGTACATCCATTTGTCCTTAAATTAAATGGCGACAGATGAATTATCGTTGAACTTTCAAAAGGCAAGCTTTAATAGTAATGCAATATTTATTCTGTAGTTCTTCTGTAGATTATTCTTGCATATCACAATTACGCCTTCCGTACCTATTTTGATGAAGGCCCAATGAAGAACTCTCCTCATGAGGTAGCTTAAATGCCGCCCGATAAGCCGGATTTTAAGCTAGTTTCTAATATGTTCGTATGGACAGATCATCTCTGTCTTTTTCCAACACAACACTTATTCTATTTTAGCGTTTTATTCAATATCATAATCTTACAATCATTATATGTTAGCATTTCATTAAACACCCTAATCTTGTAATCAAACAAGTTATCATATTTTTAGCATTTCTTTCAATCTCCTACTATTGAAATTAACCTGTTTAGTATATATTAGCGTTTCTTTCAGCCACCTACCATTACATACTATCACATTATAATTAAGCATTTCTTTTAATCACTTACTATTAAAGGATGTTTCATTAAGACGAATTATATATAAGGGTGTTTCATTAAGAGGGATTATATATAAGGGTGGTTCATTAAGAAAGATCAAAGTCAGCAGTAAATAAATCAGTGTTATTGGTGAAAATTTATTTATTTCTCTATTGGATCATGTTATTTAAATCATGGCAATCATGCGTGAAAATTAATATCGATCAAATGTCCACCAAATCTGAAAAGAAAAAGAAAAATATTCAGTAGACGCTTAAACTTAATTCACATTTAAAACCGGTTCAAGTTATTGGAACACCTTTTATAATCCTTTATAAACACACGATTGGTATATTTTAACCACCATGTTTGTTTGTTTTTTTATATTGAATATCTTGCATCGACAAGAGTATACCCTTTGAAAATTAAGAGCAAAGACACTATTATTAGTTTTATTTCTCTAATTTTAATCTTCAGTTGGTAAATTATCTTGATCCTGCGGCAAGGAAATAACATAGCAATGAGAGATCGCATGGCTACACCATCGTTATGTATGTATATTTCAATTAGATTATGACAGAAATAGATATGTGTGATACATCTTGCTATTATTCGATTTTCGATTATTAATTTTAAAGTTTCTTCCAACCCCCAACAATTACAAACTAAGCGCTTAGTTATTAGCATTTATCTCAATCCCTTACCTATGCTAACTACCGGATTATTTTTAGTTCATGTCGCAACCAAATTACTAATACTCCAAGTAACATTAATATATTTAACATTTCAAATGGCTTGCCATTTCTCTAAAGCACACGCTTATTATAAATCTTTCTTTCCGCCTACTACTATACACATTACCCGGTATATTCGAAACACGTGATTAGAACGCAGTGAAAGATTACGTCAGTATTCTGTCCCGAATGTTCTTTTGTATTGGGCATTATGACATTTTGTTCGGAGTTGATAAGTCGATCTTCTTGTAAGAACTTTTATTTTAGTACGATTTATTTATTTAATTTTATCGACAGAGACAAATTCTCCCAAGGGAAAAGAGAATTCCTATACAACATTAATAGTTTGCAAAATGTTTCATTGGCTGGGGATGTTCTTGGTAAGAACGAAGTTTTGTTCTGAATTTTTTTTTTCGGCTTTTTATAAGCTCTACAAGAAACTTTGCAGTATTTTTAATCGATTACTAGAATTTTATTTAGAATGGAACTGGTTACAGTAAAATAAGATATTTTAATCTTATTGTAGTTTAAATTAATTTTATTATGCAAGTCACCCCAATATGTTTTCGATAAAAATCTTATTACTTTTTTTTGGACGATGGTATTATGCAAGAAATTGTAACTTATAGTTTATTTAATAGTAAATAATTCCTATAAAGATTATTATATAGAATGAGTTTAAATTATCAAAGTTGATAATGTTTGTTTTTTTTTTTATATTTAATATCTTGCATCGACAAGAGTATACCATTTGATAATTAAGGGCACATACACTATTATTAGTTTTATTTCTCTAATCTTAATCGTCCGTTGCTAAATTATCTTGATCCTGCAGTAATGAAATAACAATAAAGGATCACATGTCTACACAATCGTTATGTATGTATATTTCAACTAGATTATCACAGAAATAGACATGTATGATACATCCTGGTATTATTCGAATTCGAGCATTCATTAAACATTTTTGTCACATCTGATTTGGTAAATTCCCGGTGTATTTAAAAATTATTGATAAAATGCTTAGAAGAATATGTAATACTATTGGTTCTGACCTTGCATCTGTTATTTTTCCACCGTCGTGGTACCTAGATATTAGGTTTACAAAAAATAAGAAAATATTTATTAAGATCTACGAAAGAAAAGAAATTGCGGAGAGCCGTTATCGTTTAAAGAAGAAGATGGATTTTGAAGCAGGAACGAATAATAACTGTCGTCAATGGGACAAAATTAACACAGAAACTCAGTAAGATCACAATACCAGCCGTTATTCCATATTAGCCAAACAGACACGCGATGATGCATTTTATTAGATTGACTAACGATTTTCATTTGTATCCATTTTGTTCTTGGTAAAAAATAAAGTGCAATAAAATTTTATTCATTTATATATTCACCACTATTTTCAATTTCTTGTTGCTACGTAGCAAACAGTTCTACGATCTCGCGAGAGTCAAGGCTTTTAATCTCGTTTACATGAGAAAAGGTTTTTTTTTCCTCAAAGCGTTTTGTAGTTATAATTTCTGTTGTACTAACTTTCTATCCTGGGGGTGCCATGGAGGAGAACAATTGTTTCCCCTTTGACAATTGCTTGGCTCTTTTACTCTAAAATTTTATGGACATTATGCTGGCGCTGGACACATGGGCAAGTCAAAAATTATACGCACTTGCGCCATAACACGTATTTACGATTCTCACACATCTTCCGCTCGTGTTTACCTCTAGTTGGTAATATTTTGGTGACGTCATCAAAGTTTAATCTTGATGGCGCCAGTTTTCCTGCTTCTGATACAGTGTAAACATGGCTGCTCCGTTATTAGTCTGCTTCAAGACGGAACAAAGAGCAGTGTTCCCAGTTTTCTTATCGGAAGGTTTGTCAGCGGGCTGAAATTCATCGGAGGCTTTGAACACAATACGTCGACAGTTTCTTGCCGGGTAGAACTGTGTACAAGAATTTTACTGACAAGCATGACACACGAATATAGAGAAGAATGCCCGAAAACGTTCGGCAAAGATGATAAGGGATGGTATTGGCAAACTGGCGAGGGATGACATGCTCGATGGATGGTAATGGCGAACTGGCGAGGGATGGCATGCTCGAGTGATGGTAATGGCGAACTGTCGAGGGATGGCAAGCTCGTGGGGTGGTATTGGCGAACTGGCGAGGGATGGTGAGCTCGATGGATGGTAATGGCAAACTGGCGAGGGATGGCAAGCTCGATGGATGGTAATGGCGAACTGGCGAGGGATGGCATGCTCGAGGGATGATAATGGCGAACTGGCGAGGGATGGCAAGCTCGTGGAGTGGTATTGGCGAACTGGCGAGGGATGGCAAGCTCGATGGATGGTAATGGCGAACTGGCGAGGGATGGCAAGCTCGTGGGGTGGTATTGGCGAACTGGCGAGGGATGGCGAGCTCGATGGATGGTAATGGCAAACTGGCGAGGGATGGCAAGCTCGATGGATGGTAATGGCGACCTGGTGAGGGATGGCATGCTCGAGGGATGATAATGGCGAACTGGCGAGGGATGGCAAACTCGTGGGGTGGTATTGGCGAACTGGCGAGGGATGGCATGCTCGATGGATGGTAATGGCGAATTTGTGAGGGATGGCTGCTCGAGGGATGGTAATGGCGAACTGGCGAGGGATGGCAAGCTCGTGGGATGGTAATGGCGAACTGGCGAGGATGGCTAGCTCGAGGGATGGTAATGGCGAACTGGCGAGGGGATGGCATGCTCGAGGGGATGGTAATGGCGAACTGGCGAGGGATGGCATGCTCGGGGATGATAATGGCGAACTGGCGAGGGATGGCAAGTTCATTGGGGTGGTATTGGCGAACTGGCGAGGGATGGCAAGCTCGTGGGTGGTATTGGCGAACTGGCGAGGGATGGCATGCTCGAGGGATGATAATGGCGAAATGGCGTGGGATGGCATGCTCGATGGATGGTAATGGCGAACTGGCGAGGGATGGCATGCTCGAGTGATGGTAATGGCGAACTGGCGAGGGATGGCAAGCTCGTGGGGTGGTATTGGCGAACTGGCGCGGGATGGTAAGCTCGATGGATGGTAATGGCGAACTGGCGAGGGATGGCATGCTCGAGGGGTGATAATGGCGAACTGGCGACGGATGGCAAGATCGTGGGGTGGTATTGGCGAACTGGCGAGGGATGGCAAGCTCGAGGGATGGTAATGGCGAACTGGCGAGGGATGGCATGCTCGAGGGATGGTAATGGCGAACTGGCGAAGGATGGCAAGCTCGTGGGGTGGTAATGACGAACTGGCGAGTTATCATCGACGAGATAGCATATTCTCTGAAGATTATATTGTTCCCTCTTAGCACACATTGCTAGCGGATCGGCCATGTTTACACCGTAACTGCGCGTTTGGAACTCCGCTCTCCGATTAACAATTACCAGCCATAAACCCGTACACCACCCGCACATCCAAACGTACACCTGGTTATTCCCAGCGATAACCTATCTTGGTAATGACCAAACTCGACGTTGCTTAACTTCGGTGATTGCACGGGAAACGGTAGTTCAACCTGACGTCGCCGTAAGCCGTTTTGCGTTGACCATTCTCCTTTGTAACGGAATTTAATCTAACCGCTTATTGGATATTTAAGAAACGATAAGCTAGCATGTTGATTCTTTAAAATAATTGGTTCCCAATGACGAAAATTAATTATGAATCTACCCAATAGTTATTCATAATCAGTATATCTGTTTTTAACATTCATACAATCTGAATTCGTTTTATCTGTTTCAGTCTTCATTGCCGCTTCACTTGATCCTATTGACGATTAAGATTCCCCTCCTGATAATGCCATAATTAACATCATACGTATCTTTTATGAAACTTAAGTATTGAATTTATTTATCTATGAAATCCGAAGAGACACTACGCGATAAAATCGGTAATGCAGGAATTCGGTAAATGAGTTAATTTGAAATCATGAAATAGGGGACGACAGGCACATACAGCTTATCATTTGAATTCCTTCTTTAAGAATATCGAATCAGGAGATTGTAGATATCTCTTTGTTCTTTGCCTGAAAGCGAATTGTTTCCAAGACAATGGATCGACTGTATCGGGTGAATTAAATGACTTTAAATGCTGTGTTCATTCACATAATAGACATATGCGAACATTGTCTACAGATTTTCTTATTTAAGAAACAAGAAAGTTTCTTTACACCTTAATGTAGTTCTCAAAAGGTTAAAGTCATAATATATACCATACGCTGCGATTTTCAAAATACGTTTATTTCTGCTTAGCCTCTTCTTACTGCCATCAGAATAGCTCGTCCTAAACGCCAGTAGAGCAACACTATACACCTTCTTGGCCTTACGTTTTCCACTGACATCATGTGGAGCGACGATATCGAGTAAATTGCTACATATAGTTTAAGGAAAGCTGGTTCACTGTGTCGTGCAAGAAAATGTTTCTCTTCAAAATATCTAAATGTTCCTGTATTAAATGCTATTGCCATATATGGTTTGGTACTCCTGGTGTACCTCTTGAAAATCTTGACATAATCTAAAGAAGAGTCTGCAATGTCATAAATCCTGTCCAGGCATCTCGACAAAATGGCTTCCCTCGGGCTTTTCTAGCAATATTTTCATGGCTTGTGTTTTGATGATTGTTTTTTTTTATTTTCTGATTTTTAAATAGGAATAGAATATCGCTTCCGACACTTGATTTGGAATATATATCGCCAGTGAACAAACCCAGTCAATCCCTTTATTGAATTAAGTAGACCACGTGACCATAAAAGAAATGCTTAAGTAGGAGCTTGCGTGACGTCTAATTGATCGCGATTTTTATTCTATCCTCTATTACTATTGGGATCACCATATCTAGTTTATTATCGATTACTAACGGATCGTTATTTCTACTCTATTCACTATACAATTTCTCTATTCAGGTTACTTTTCGGTGCTTACTATTCAAGCGAGTATCATCGAGCAAGTACTATTAGTGAGAGTGATATTCGATGGCATCTGAATTCAGTATTGTTCAACGGCGTTAATATATATGTATCTGCGATTACAAAGTCTCAACTACAATGAGCATTATGAAAGTGACACAACTGATTCCCCGACTACATAAATTTAAACGTGATACTAGATTGGCATCTAGGTCTCACTCTTTTACTGCTGAACTAGCTAGATGAAATCGTCGCTTCTAAATAGAAGTGGCGGTTGTATTTAGCTACTTCAATTGTTTATTTTCTCGTTCTTTGCACCTGTCGAACGCCTTTTCGATTTTTTGATTCCCTGTTGATCCTCTTTAAATATTAAACTTGGAAGTCAATCGCCATCTTCCGACATCTTGAATCCTGTACTTTTTGAATGTCCTTTCCTCAATCCTCCCCGTTTTCAGTCTTCTCATTCTCTTTCACCTTCAATCCCTGAAGCCCCAGGCGTGCTAGTGGAATTATCATATTTCTTGGGGTGAAAAGATAAACAAAAAACATAAAAATAAGATTTGTAGTCATTATATTTGATAATAAACAAGGAATGATCTTGAGTCCAAAATATAGTTTCTTAATCAAGCATCCAAAAATGTTGGACGCAGGATAAATATTTTCAAAACAAAAAACTATGATCCTATTGTTTTGGTTTATTTTATTTTGCAGCAAATCAACACTTCAATGTATCATTTAATGCCGACAAGATTTTTACAATAGATTCCTATGAGTAGTATTTGTATTCTTTGTAAACAATCAGTTTGTAGATAAGATTTGAGTATCGTATTTTTGTAAAGAGGTTTTGGCGATAGTCAAGGTTAATTTTTCATTTTCAAAAATGTATTTCTGTTATTTTCGTTACAAAAGTTTATTATATTTCTGTAGTTTTTCAACTCCAATTTGTGGGTAACTTTTTGCCCATAACTTGAACCCTGATGCTAACACTCCCGGATCTGGTTGAACTTGGGAACACAAGCAATTAAGGCGTGATTTCATAATCCACAAATCTTCCCCATCACAGTCCTTGCTGTCGGAAACAGTTCATAGTCATAACCTGGACGACGATAATCTGAAATTGGAATGAAAGCAGTCATGGCACATATCCTGAATTCATCAGAAAATTTCAGATTTTTTAATTAATAAATACTAAATATTAGGTTTAGATTTGTCTAAAAACGAAAAATATTAAAAACAAATAGTAGCTATCAATCTATAAATAAAACCATGTGGCATTAGTCCGTCCGTCTGTCACAGCCTCTAAAATAGCCACAGATTGACTAATCGAACCAACTTTTGGTAAGAAGAGCAAACAGTTAAGGGGCAACAGACTAATATTGATTTTAGTGAAATAAATTTTCATTATTTTTGTTGTGAAATTGAAAGACTTATTATTTAACATACAAAACTATCCCACTATTAAAAAAAAAACAATTTAATGATAAAAATAACAAAAACTTATTTAATAAAAATGCAATATTGTGTTTTGCATAGCTTTTCCTTAAGTACTTGTATATACAAAATCCACTTCCAGTTCGCCCTGCGTTTTTGATAACTATAAACAAATTCTAAGTCCAAACGCTTCAAAAAGTTGAAATTTGGCTCCAGGAAAAAATATTTGCTCATGTATGTTGCATGTTAAAGTAAAGAAATTATTGAACTGCGATATAGGGTTTAGTCAATGTATTTTCCAAATATATGAACTTATTCAAATATTATCGATTGGTTTTCGAAATTGAATGAAAAATAGAGTTTGTAAATCTCGATAAAATAATTCTAGTTGATTAAAAATGGCTTCATACCAATGATCATAATAGCGTAAGAAGAATATTCTTCGAGAAATCTCAGAAACTGGCGCTACAGAATCAATAATAAAGAATTTTACCAACAACCAGATTATTGAAGACTTTTAAAAGCATCAAGAACTAAAATGGACAGCACGTGTGACACGATGAGGAAATAATGAACAAATTTTACACATGATTTATGGTAAAAAATTCCTCATTTCCAACATAGCAACCTTTGAGATAGTATTTGTGTAATAAATTAAGCTATCAACGTGGGCAAAAGATCCTCACTTTCACCAACACGAAGGCCCCAAATTGTCGTTCACCGTGATGAAGGCATTTCTGAACGTGAAGTTAGTGCAAAAGTACGTTGTGGCAAAAATAGTTGTGTATACAGCTATCGTGAATTTCCAAAATCCAAAAACATTTAGTGACAAGGAGAGAAGCGGGCCCCAAAACAAAACCTGAACTGAAGATGGCTATGTGCTAAAGCGCATTGCTACACGATATCCAAGAAGTTCTTCTAAGAAGATAATACTTCAAAATTGTATAAATATCAATTGTATGGCAGGTTCCTGCTGTCTGAAATCTTCGGTTTGAAATCATTCAAACTAGTTCATAAACCAGAGCTAACTGCAGCTACGAAATACAAAGTCTAACATTTGCTAAGGACATGAAAGCTGGGCAACTAAAGAGGGATGTCAAGTTATGTTTAAAGATTAATCTTATCTGAAACGGTTCGAATATATAAAATAAACATTAGAAACCGACTCGTAATTTGCTGAAAATGATACAGTTCCGACTATGAATCACCCACCGAGGCATATGGTTTGTGACGCCATGTCAAAATCTGGAACAGAATCTACATCTGGCTTCCAGGTACAACATCGAATGGATTTAAGTATGTGGGACAACTTCAGGGAAAACTGGAACGGTACATCCGCATTCATTAAGGCACAGTTTTATACATGATGTTCCTACAGGCCAATGATCAAAGGTTGTTCTGAATTTGTTTAATCAGGATTAACCTGGGGAAATATGTCTGTTCCCCGAAGAGACCAGCTGTGAACTGTGGTGAACAGTCCCGTAGAAGCAAGTGAGCCGGTGTGGCTTACATCTGGTGCAGTGGAAAATAAATGTCTTACCTCAACGTGCGGCACGTGGCATCGGTAATTCTGATCCTTGAAAATGATATTACTCACCTGTCTAGCAGTATCTGCGGTAAGGGTGGTTTTTGTACAGTTTGGTATGCTTCGACCAGTAGCAAAGTTGTGTGTAGATTGATCGGACTGTAGGAGGCTATTTACATGGGTAACTGAGAATAAAAGCTGATTGGTT